GAAACAGAGAGAGAGAGAGAGAGAGAAATCACCAGCAGCAGCTCCAGATCACGCGCGCGCTGACACGCTCTAACCTCGCAGGAACTGTTTATCACCAACTAAAGCCTTTTACTTTCACAAGAAAACATCGGGCTTTTTTATTCTGTATTTTCCTGGACGTGCATGACTAAACTCCTCTCAGAGCTGTTTTCACATGCAGGAAATGATTGCGATATTTATTTTTGGAAAGTAGGCTATAACCTGACAAACACTTGGACATGTAAATAAATAAATAAATAAACAGGGATATTAACTATACAGCATTTATAAATATAACATCATCATTATAATATAGGCTACTATTTATTTATTTTGGCTATCATCATTATCTTGTCAGTTTATTAAAATGACAAATTATAGGCTATAAATCATTAATACGGTAAAAGTATGTAGGTAATGTATGGCTATGTAAAACATGATTATATAAAGGCCTATAATTAAATTATTTTGTAATAATAATAATTCGTGGTAATTGTAGCTAAATGTTTATTGTGGCTGTCACTCGTTTATTAGACGTGCTTTGCACACATTACAAAAGAGGGATTTTGAAGATGTGGAAACAGCTCATAATCTGCCGATCATATTAATCATCACATTAATCTGTGTGTGTTTGATGGGAGCGCGTGGCGCATACGCTCGTGTCATTAGCAGGTTAAAATAGAAACATGTGCGTCTGTGCATTTAAAGACACGTGATCCGTTCTGGAGCGATTCTGCTGGTTTCAGAGCAGTAGATAAGAGTCAACTTCACACAGAAACTCGATCAGAGATGTTTAGGATTTGTGTGAGTGTGTGTGTGTGTGTGTGTGTGTGTGTGTGTGTGAGAGAGAGAGAGAGTGTGTGTGTGTGTGTGTGTGTGTGTGAGAGAGAGAGAGAGTGTGTGTGTGTGTGTGTGTGTGTGTGAGAGAGAGAGAGAGTGTGTGTGTGTGTGTGTGTGTGTGTGAGAGAGAGAGAGTGTGTGTGTGTGTGTGTGTGTGTGTGAGAGAGAGAGAGTGTGTGTGTTGTGTGTGTGAGTGTGTGAAAAAAGCAATAAGAAAGTCACGTCCATAACAAGTAGCTAAAAGCAATTGCAAATTATTAATAGATTTAAGGCTTTAAAATAATTTGAAGTTTTTTTTTTTTTTTGCTTTGTTGTAATTAATAACGTTCCCATAACGTTTGCTTAATAAAATAAATCTCTGACATTCAATTTTTTTCCATTAAAAGAATAACGTTTAGATGTTCAGAATATTAATGGGAATTTTAGCAAAATTTTGTACACTCTGTAATTGCAGACTCCCATTGTGACAATTTACTCCATGTGTTGTGACAACTTGCCCCACTTGCAAAAAATCAGTAAATTTTTTTTTTTGCAATCAAGACATTAAAATGTCTATCTGTACTGATCTTGAAACATCAATCTCTTTACTGTTTTTTTTATTTTTCTTAAAGTGTGACAACTAGCCCCGGTCTCCTGACAGCATCACCACCCAGGGTCTGTGATGCTCAAAATGATGTTGCCCAGGCTGCAGATCTCACCGTTACCATGGCAACACACACTGACCATTAATGTGTTCATTGCTGACCGGACCCCGAATCAGAGAGAGAGAGAGATTTGTGCAAAAACCGAGCGTCCCGTTTCCCGTGAGCCGGATTTCATCAGCTCTGAGAGTGAAACGAGAGCCGAGCAGAAACTCAGCATCAAGGCCAGTCTGCCAGACAGAAAGCTGATGTTACTGATATGAAAAGCTGGATTTGTTCTCTCCAAAGATCTGAAGAAGCACAGTTTAAGCAAAATCTCAGTTTCATCTGAGAGCTATAAAACTCTGTACTGAACGTCTTTAATGCAATATACATTTACAAAAGATTCCTTACAGTGCTGGGTTCTCTTCATGGCTCATTAATGTTTGTTTCAGTGTGATCTCTAGAGACATACAGCTCAGATTCGCTGCTATAAAGCACATATAACATGAAGGATTAGAGATGCTGTGCAGCTGTTAATGTGTTTCTCATCTCTGTAGTTTGTGATTGGTTAGTTTCAGAATCTGGAGGTGCTGTCAATCACAGCACTGGGGCCGTGTGATTGGATGTTTGGAGAATGTGGGTGGAGTTCAGGGTGTTTTCTGGAGCATTCGTGGCACGGGTTCATCCTACATCTGTGTGTTTTTTTACAGTATATTTTCCTAAAGTGCATGTGTTTTTCTTCCAGCTAGACATTCGTTTGCATCTCTAGCCAAAAACATTTGGAAAAAATCCCTATTGTTTTCAAAATGAATAGCATACAATCTTTTTCCAAAAATCAGAAAATGCCAAAAAAAAAAAACAAAAAAAAAAATAATTTTATATTTTTTTAAATAATTTACAATTTTTAAAAAATATAAATAT